AAAAAAAAAAAAAGATGCATCTGCATCAAAAGGCGACCTTTTAAAATGCCACAACTATTTTTTACATTCACTCTTGCAACAGGTCACAAGATGGGGTCACTAAGCTCAGATAAATCACTATGATGCACATAAAATACAGAAAGATTGGTTATTTTATATATATTATATATATATTTATATTCTCACACTTTAGCATCTGAGACATAAACTGAGAATTTAAAATTTATTCTCTTCAGATAACAAATCATTTTTTATTTTTCATAAACATGGTGCCCACAAAAGCACATAGGTAAGGCACAATAGGGTTTTCTGTTACAGAACAGTGTGCATCATGTTTACTTAACCAGAAAACGTGCATTATCTGTGCAAGTTCATGCTGCAAACCCAACACATATACAATAAAAAACAAAAAGGAAACTGAGCTTTAAACAAAATCAAAATTGGTACAATTCCAGCTGTTTCACATATTCATTTGGACTGACAACAATATATCAACAGGTTGTTTTTTAAAAAGCCAATTGTTACGTTACAAGTAAACTCTGCTCAGCAACGATTTTAATCTGAAATCATAAACAGTAATAAAGCAACTTTACTGAAACAAAGTAAATACCGAGGCACAAAGCAACAGTCACTCGTGCATTTACTATATTGCAAGCTTTCATGACCCAAAATTTCAAATATAAATTTTCAAAGACACATTTTGCTGCAACAATGTGCCCTGCTTTAAACTTGACATAGAACAGGGGAGCTGACATTTCATTAAATTATAAATAAATTGGGAAAATGACTTACTCCCAATAGTACTATGACATAGTCCTAGTATTTATAATAAATACAGCTTTTCACAAAATACTTTTCCAATATCTGCCAATTGCATCTTTATTGCTCACATAAATTTGAATCCATTACAACCGATATCGTAACTTTCACACAAAATCATACTCAGACATTTTTATATAAAACTTATAAAAGATATTTTAAACTTGTATCTAATACTTCCAGGTGTTTGGCTGTTTGATCTATGTGATAGTACAGCCATATGTATATATGTGTGTATATATATACACATATACACATACATATATATACACATACACACATATATACACATACATATGTACACATTAGATTATGAATAAAATAGGAAGCTTATTTTACTGCTTTAATGCAGACATCCTCACAAAACAAGACTACTTTCGCCAACCCCCAGCATTTATACATATATACAAAAGCCAGTTTAAGTACATGTACATCCACCTACACGTATATGTAACCACTAAACCCAAATTAATTTTCCTGTATTCCAGCTGTAACAAATGAATCTCTTACAAGCAATAGAAACCTAAGGTTAAATTGGGAAATTAACAGTTTTACCACACTGGCCTGGTAAGGAACTATGCAGGTGACTGTATACAAAAATGCACAACATTAGTTCACAGGAAATTATGGAAATACAAGAGGCCTCTTCACCATGCTTTTGTGTGGTTATCCAAACACTTTGTGGTGCAAAAACACAACCACCACATCTGAAAATGCTTAATAACGTCAATGTTCCTCATGCAAAACTTTAAATGCATTGGCTTAACTGAGCTCCAAAAACTAAATGAAACAATTGTTCTGTCTACTCGGCATTGCTGCCTCACTGTTAAGTCCCTTTGGAACCTTAAGATTTCTGGAACATTCAAACAGAGCTGTATTCAATAAAAATATTACATACAAAAAGCATTTAAAAGGAAGACAAGAAGCCAAAGAGGAATTTTCCTATTGTAAATACCAATCCTAGGAGTGGAAGAAAGTCTTTTCAGGAACCTCCTTGAGAATTGGTTAGGCCAGTCCGAAGACGAAGATGAGACATAGAGTTCATATGTTTATTTGATGGCTTCAAGGGAGTATTGCAAGTAAGAGCTTGGGGAAAGCGGTGGTGATATCTATCTAGTCGTAAATATTTTACTGTAACCAATTTCCCTGTTGTAAGATAAAAATAATATTTTAGATCTGTAAAAATGTGCTTAATATTTACAAAAAACAAACTGTGGTAAAAGACATATGAACATAATATGCAAATAAAGGAATCTTAAATTATTACTCTAAAAATGCTGACCTAATATTCTTTAATTTAAAATCTGGTATAATTTAACAGTAAGCCGTAATTTATGTTTTTAAAATGTTTGTAATACTCAAACTTCTTACCATCAAACCAAGAGCCATGCAATGCCTTAAAAGCTTTTCCAGCATATTCTGGAGACAGACATTTAACATATACACAGCCCTGTGATATTTAAAAAAAAAAAAAAAAAAAAAAAAAAAAAAAAAAAAAAAAAAAAAGAAACAAAGAAAGAAAGAGAAAAAAAAGAAACGGTCTTAGTTTAATAGCAACAAATCCTAAATGTAGAATTCGATAGTAAAAGTTACTTTACCTCACGTGAATTTTTGTCTACTGCAATATGAACAATGCCATCATTATCACTGCATTTTTCTAAAATTGCTTCTTGAATTGCCAAATGCCACTGATCCCCTATTTCCCTAAAAATTGATGGAAAAAAAAAATCAATAGCCATATTCCTATTCTGTTAAAAGTCTTTATTGTCTCTTATAACACATAAACCCTAGCAGAATGGGAATAATTTCAAAACTACATACTGTTAAAACTAGTAGTTAGGTAAATACTTGTTGCAAGTACTATACAGAATTAAAAAATACTGGCATTCACAGTCCCAGACCTTCTCTCATTTCCAGTGGAAGAAGGCACAGAGCTGAGGCAGTGAGCACAGCAGAACAAATGTGCTGTCATTTTTACGTCTGAAATCTTATGTACCTGTAGCCATTTCTTTTTTTCTCCCTAGCAAGCATTAACACTTTAATGAGTCTGTAGTGAACTTAAAAAACTTGAGTACTATTTTTTTTAATGATATTTTCAAATTCCTAAACTTAAGGACAATTCCTAGTAAATAATGTGTTCTGGTGTTCTCTTTTTCGAAATAATGGAGGAATGATACAAGACAAACATTTTGCATAAAGCATCACCTTACTGTTACAAGAACTTTAAGAGTTCCTGCTGCACCGATGCCTATTTGTCTTACTTGTGAGATACAGAGGGCAAGCCGAAGGGAGAGTGGCTACACTTTAACTCATAAATCTTCATCTTAGTAACAAAATACTAGACTGGCACTGATTTCCTAATCCCTAAGTAATGAGGTCAGCTTCTCAAAAGAGGGATCAGAGCACTGCTAAGTGCTTATATCTCTGCAAAACGGAGGGGGTGTGTTATGTGTACTGACAGAGTTTCTTTTCTCCACAGTTCCAATTTTGTTGCCACTGATTTGGAATCTCGTTATATCAACCATTTCTTGAAATAAATAAGTTACTAAATGGGATGTATGGGTATTTTCTAAGTAATACGGTTTCTACTGTTAGAATTCTTTTTACAAAACAGAACCTGATCTGTTGTATCATTGGACAAATAAGTAACATCTAGGAAGCAAATTCTAGAAATTATTGCAGCTAATATATGAAGTAGTACAGATTCTAAGGCAATAACTTTTGACTGGGCTAATCTCTGGATGCATGTGCTGCTATAACATATAAAAGAAAAGTTTCTCAAATATTAAATGGACACAAAAGTTTCTCGAATATTACATGGACAAGTAGACAGGTCTTAAGAAGGAAAAGTACATCTTTGCAGAGAATTTTTACAATCAGAGATTGGAAATTTAAAAATAGTAGATATTTATCTATATTGCCTAATGAGGCAAAGAATATTGGCAGACAAGATTTATATACTTAACAAAAAGTACTGTTTATCACCACGTGTATCATTAATTTGACTCAAACATTTATCTGCCATGGGGACTCGTAGTGCATACAAAGATTCGTAATTTAACAAATTATTATACTTCTGTGTCTTTTGGCCAGACCTTGGCCTGAAATATAACAAAAGAGGAGAAAAGAAAAACATAACACTTCTGTAGTTAGAGATTCAAAAGTAAAAGAGATTGTTCAATTACAGACATAACAATGTAAGGATATTCCAAATAAAAATTACATGTACCTCTGACCATAATACTTACATAACTGGGTCAAACATATTTCGAATCTTTAAACATGGTGTCAAACTATTTGGTGGTGAATTTCTTCTATCTAAATGAAATGCTACAAAAAATAAATTAGTGTTACTATTTGTCACTGTTCCATTTAGTTCATTCAAAACATATTCATTGCATGCTTTTCCTAGGAGCCAGACCCCTGGATATTAAGGTAAATCAAAGAGAGACAATCATTGCTATCACAGAGTCTGCAGTTTAGTGGGTGAGACAGATGAGAAACCGTGTCAAAAAAACCCGTTATTGTGGCAAATCTTAAGAAAGAAGAATACGGGAAGCTGTGAAAGTAACTTAGGTAGTCTGGAAGTATAGCACTTGAGGAAGTAACATTTATGCTGGGACCCAAAAAGTAATAAAAGTAGACAGAGTGAAGAGAAGTATAAAGGGCATTTCAAGCAAATGTGATAGCTTATATATACAGCCCCAGGCAAGAAGGAGCTCAGTGCAGTCAAGTAACTAAAAGACAGCCACTGTGGCTAGAGCAGGAACAATAGAAAGCTAAACCTTAACAGGGACAGGTTAGAGCAGGAACAATAGAAAGATAATCCTTAACAGGGACAGGTCAGATTATTGAGAACCATGAAGATCACACTAAAGTGTTTAGACATTGCCGTAAGACCAAAAGAAAGTCACTCAAGTTTTTTTTAAGGAGAGGAATAATATGATGAGATCTATCTTTTAAAATTATAATTTTTAAAAGTAGACTGTTATGTGGAAAATCGATTAGGTGGAAACAAAAGCGAATGCAAGGAGACCAGTGAGAAAGTTACCATAGTTGTTTAAGAGAAAGAGGATACTAATGTTGGTAAGACAGGCCAGCAATGCAGATGGAAATAAGTAGACAGACTCAGGACATACGGAGATTTGACACGACTTGTTTAAAAACTATACATGGGAGGTAAGGAAGAGATTAAGGATGACCCCCAGGTTTATGGCAGAACCAACTGAGAAGGGGTATCATTAATTAGACCAAGAACACCGGGGGAAGAGGTCCGTTTGGCAAGAGAAGTTACTGAATTCATGCACATGTTCACTTTGTGGTGTCCATATCCTAATAGTATACAGGTGGTATACAGGTGGGTATAAAACTCTGAAAACCATAGGACTTAATTCAAGATATAAATTTGGGAGTTATCAACATATCTATGGTAAATGAAGTCGGAGCGTGAGATCATCTAGGAAGACAGGGAGAATGAGAAAAGACACTGGCCTTGAGAAACTCCAACACTTTAGAGGTCCAGGAAAAGAAGAAAATTTGGAAAAGAAGATTGAACAAATGGTCAGAAGTAGCAGGAAAACTAGTAGAAAGTGGCATCCCCAAAACCAAACAGAGAAAGTTTTAAAGCAGGCTCAATTGTTAACACTGGTAAGTAAAATAAGGACAGAAAAGAAAAATGTCCAATGGGTTTAGCAGTATGAATGTCTGAGAGCTGTTTCCATGGAATGTCAGGGATGGAAAACAGATTAGAATCAGCTGAAGAATAAATGGGAAGTGAAAAAGTAAAAACAGTGAGTACAGTAAACTAATGCTATGTGGCTATGAATGGGTAGAGACAGAGTGATAGCTACAGAACAGTGTAGACTCTAACAATGTGTGTTAAAGATGAGAGAGACTATATAGCATGTTTAAGCGCTGATGAAAAGGTCCAGGAGAGGCAGGGGTTTAGAACACAGTGAGAGAAGATGCTTGAGAAGACTGGAGGGAATGGAACCCTGAGGGCTTAGATCCCCTTCCCTATAGAGGGAAGGGCTCAGGTCTTTGTTAAGTGAGAGAACTCTTCAAATGCAATAGGCGGTGAGGGTGAGTGTGGATTCTGGCACTTTTACTGAGTTGGTGGTAGAACGATGAGGCAGGGACTATGTGATTGCTTCTATTTGAGTCATCAACTGAGAGAAAGGCAAAGGTTTGACAAGATGGAAAGAAATCTAAAATTGTTACTGAGCAGAGCAGGAAAGTGAAGTGACCTGGTAAAATATTTTAAGAACATGAAAGTCAGGTAGTGCTGAGGGCCCAACTGAGGTTGATTATTTATGACATACCAGTCTGCAAAACTGTATGACTTTTTCCCCGCTGTGCTCAGCTACCTGCACATAGACAAAACAGTTTCATCCTTGGTTGGAATTTACCAGGCTAAGAGGGATAGGTGATGACTTAAGGGTACTAGCAAGAAAAGGATTGGAAAGATGGGTTGTGGAAACTAAGATGGACAGGAAAAGAAATAAAGCCAGGAGGAAGACTGAAAAACTGGAAAAAGTAGGTATATCAAAGAATTGGAGAGTATGGGAAGTTTAAAACAAAAAACAAAACAAAACAAACAATATATACATATATACATATATATATACATATATATATATATAT